GTACTCAGGTGAATATGATATTTGTGGTGTTACTCTGAGTGTATATCCACACCGGGCGAGCTTGAAAAATATGCCCGGCCACGGTGGGATTCGAACCTACGACCTTTGGAATACTAGACCTTTGGAATACTATCACTTACTCGAACCGTCCTGACCGCGTAGCTCAGTTGGAAGAGCATTGGGCTAGTATTCCAAAGGTCGTAGGTTGGAATCCCACCGTGGCCCGGCATATTTTTCAAGCTCGCCCGGTGTGGATATACACTCAGAGTAACACCACAAATATTACTTTAATTTATTATTAATATCTTTATTTTTTGAAGTAGACATGCATGGGTTTTTTGTTTGGTGGCCCAACCGTAGACATACAAAAAAAATTGGCGGCCCATCAAAACTGCCCAAAGATTTTCCAAGGCCCATCCCAAATTACTCCAGCCCACCCTAGCAGTTACTTTATGACCAGTCCCTAACTACAGACTATACAGAAGCAGAATTGGGACACTTGTATTTTGACTGTAACGATGTAAGGTGAGCAAAATAAAAGCAACATCGCACTCTAAGAACACTCTGGTTAACATATACTATCACAGTGTAGACCAAAGCCAATCCAAGCTTCTAAGGACACTATCTAATGTGCACACCCCTTTAGTTCAGCTAACATACTCAATTAATATGAAAGGACTGAAGAATACCTGGTTAAGAGCAGGTGCCATGACTGAAACTAAGAATCCTTGGTAAATGAGATCCAGTAGTTTAGATTGTATTCTAGGATGGGCAGTCTAGATGAAACAATATAATGTGGATGTCATTTTTTATTGGCCACAGAGTATACCATTTTAGTAATTTGTTTCATGCACATAAGTTCTTTGCAATTAAGGTGGCTTCATAACGTTTGAAGAGATCAGACTAATTTGAGATGGCTGTTCAGCTTGGGAAATTTGGAAACAATCTTCCAGGTGATCTCGTGATCGTATTTTAGCCAATCAGCGCTCAGAAAGGGTTGTCCGAATAGAAATCCATTTTGATGTATTCAGTCAATTATATCTTTCGTTATTCTTTATGAAACTAGTTGAAATTTTGTAATTATGTTTGGTTATGAGAACTATAGCTCTGACAAAAATATGGAATCGAAATAAAGTATATTACAGGAGATATTCAGTTGTTTTAATCATAAAATGGATTTCTATTTGACAACTAGTGCCAGTACTTTTCCGCATATCAAGATCATCTGGCTAGCAATCTAATGGATGATTCGAGCTACATAGACGAAATTTTGATCTAGACAAGAAGATCTTAAAATGAGTAAAATTACAAATACATGTAGAGGGTGTCTAAAAAAAAACGCTACGGAAATTAAACAGGCTGTCGTGCATCATAAACGTGGCTAAACAATTCAATTTTTACATAGGACGAAAGAACAGTTATTTAGCTTTTCAATGACTCTTTTTAAATCGTAACGATGAGAAATGGCCACATACTTGACAAATAAAAAATGCCGGTTGAAATCACATTCTTCCACCGTTGGAAATTGCATCGAAAACGAAACATAAACAATTCCCAAGAGGGAATTAAAATTGAATGTTAAATTATCTAAAATAAGCTGAACTCGTCAATCTTCGTCTTAGTGAAACAATAACTCAATACGAATTTGGTACAAAACATGGTTCAATTAACCCCTGAACAGAGAACATTCGTTATCAAAACGTTTTATGAAACAAATAGCTTGCAGCAGGCTCGCGTTGCTTTTGGATTGACTAACTTTGCATAATTAATGTATTTTCAATTCCCAATGTGATTTCGACCGGCAATTTTTATTTGACGAGTGTGTAGCCATTTCTCATCGTTACGATTTCAAAAAGGTGTCATAGAAAAGCTAAACAACAGCTCTTCCGTCATATGCAAAAATTGAACTGTTTAGCTACGTTTATGATGCACAACAGCCTGTTGAATTTCCGTGGCTTTTTTTTTGGACACCCTGTATAGCTCTGTGAAGTTCGCAAATTTTGTATATACAGTATTCGCATTATGTGCAGGAAAAATAACCATTTTTGAGCCGAAAGTGGTTATTTTTACTGCAGTGCAGTACGTAACACAAATACCTGTATAATTATACAACATTTGTGAACTTCACAGGGCTATATTTTCTTCATTTTACAACATTTAGTTTTACTCATTCTAAGACGCTCCTTCTAGCTGTGGTGTTGGATTTTGTTCTTCTTGCATTGATCAAAATTTAGTCTACAGTATAGCTGGAATCACCCATTCTGCCAGCATGTTTGATCATAGCAAATCATTTTGTATGTGAAAATGGAAAGAATAAACAGTTCACCTGAATAACATCATTACAGAATTCTAATGATGTAATAAAAGATTTTAGTTCTGGTAATGTAGTCCAAAGGCCTTTCTCTAAGCTATACCAATCTTCACCAGGAACATCTAATGTGTTGGGAAGTCTTGAATACAGAGCACTTAAGCCTGTGGCTAATACCTGCAAGTAAAACATAGGACAAAAATTATGATTGATCACATGATGATGTTTAGGGGTGGACCATTCAAAACCTGGGGGGGGGGGGGTCACAAACATTTTTGGTTGTACTGACATCAAAGGTCGGATCTTGCATGTATAAATATGTATATTGAGCATATATTCTGTGATATAAGGCTTGACACAGCACATCCTATAGGCACATAATACATGTACAAGATTTTAGGACTTTCGAATATCCATCCCTTGGGATTTTCCCGGGAGTTTTGGGGGGATTTATGGGGATTTTTAGAGATTTGTGTGGATTTCCAGTGATTTTTGGTAACAATTTTAATTGCCATTAGATCTGTTTAACCCATTGAGTGTAAGCGCTCTCCCCTTGACGAGTAAAATCATCTGACATTAGAGATAGTAAAATAATCTCAGACAGGTGTTATATAGGGTAAAATGATAAAGTTGGGTATTAACTCAACACATTGAGTGGCAGCACACTCCCCTTAATGAGTGAAATTGTGTGGCATTAGACAGAGTAAAATAATAAAGTAGGGCATAATAAAATTGGGATGTCTAATTATAAGTGACAATGGCATTGTCAAAGGGTTAATGAGTAATGTTTAACATGTAATACTGAACATATTTCAAATTTACTTTTTGGTATGTTGTTAATTTTAAAAATGAAACACCAAATAACTGTTAATAAAAAAATTCCAATCTCAATTAAGCCTGTTCTAAACGTTGCATTTTACATGCACCGAATGCATTCAAACCAATGGATAATGAGGCATTTCAGCTGATTATCTATTGTTTTGAATACATTCAGCACATGTGAAATGCAACGTATGGTGTTCCGTTCCGGTCAAAATTATTTCAAGTCAATAAGTAATATTCAAACATCATATAAACATGTTATAACTCTCAATATAATGTTGAAAATATCAAGATGAAGTTCAAACTCAAAAAAATAAAACGAAAGTTTAAAGCATATACTTGAAAAATGCAAAATACATTTCAAATCTCAAAGGATATATATGAAAATTAAACGCAAGTCCAAACTTCTATTTATAAAGCGAAACTCCCAAATGATAAGTCAAAGCCGCGGCTCATAAAAATAAATCGAAAAGTCAAAAATATAAATCGAAAGGAAACGGAAGTAAGAATTAAAATACAGAGGAAGTCAGGAAACGGAAGTTAACCACAAACATTGCTGATTCAGCCGAATATCTTTCTCGCCGTCTGGATGTTTACAAAAGAAATATAAATATTCTTCTCAATCTCACAAGGCTTAATATCCTCTAGAACAACAACTTTTGTCAGATATGTGCATCCTTCAAGTGATTGTTCGTCGTCGCGAAGGGAAAGATGTGAAGCACTTTCCTTTTGCCCTGTTGGAGTACCACCACCTCACCCCGCCACCTCCCCCCCTCCCCCAGGGACCACGGTATTGTCCAGACAAGTGTAGGACAGTGGTAGTGTTAACTATTAATTATCTCTGGTGTGGGAAGACCAACTGACCAAGACTAGACGTCTGACAACAGGCAATCAAAACTCTAAATTCTCAAGTTGGACTTTCCTGGGCAGAAATTGCAAGAAATTTTGAGTATCTGAGAGTACAATAGTCAATACGACAACGTGTCGACGTTCATTTGTCCAAGCTAATACGAAAAGGGAATCACATTCTACCATAAGGGACAATGATCTTGATCTACTTGTTCGTGGTATCTTACAAGTAACACCTAGAATTGGCTATAGATTAGTACAAGAATATTTATATTTCTTTTGTAAACATCCAGACGGCGAGAAAGATATTCAGCTGAATCAGCAATGTTTGTGGTTAACTTCTGTTTCCTGACTTCCTCTGTATTTTATTTCTTACTTCCGTTTCCTTTCGATTTATATTTTTGACTTTTCGATTTATTTTTATGACCGCGGCTTTGACTTATCATTTGGGAGTTTCGCTTTATAAATAGAAGTTTGGACTTGCGTTTAATTTTCATATATATCCTTTGAGATTTGAAATGTATTTTGCATTTTTCAAGTATGTGCTTAAACTTTCGTTTTATTTTTTTGAGTTTGAACTTCATCTTGATATTTTCAACATTATATTGAGAGTTATAACATGTTTATATGATGTTTGAATATTACTTATTGACTTGAAATAATTTTGACCGGAACGGAACGCCATAGCAACGTTTAGAACAGGCCTTAAACCTGAAACAATATCAATAAGAGTTCAATATTAACAGGGGCCATACTGCTACACGAATATTTGATTTTCATCATATCTTGGACGGATTTATTTTCACCAACTTCATTTGTAACAAAGTGTAATTCGGTAGGTGACTGGCAACTAATTTACTATGAACAGTGCACAACACTAAAATGTCGCCGGTTATATTAAGTTATATATATAATGGCAAAAATAAACCCACAATAGATAATAACCTTGCATGCAATGCTAATTTTAATTGTATGTGGGAGGGGATGAAATAATTTGCATCAAAATATTTATGACATGCTAACAGCATAAGTAATCATTATAAACCTTTATCTTTATTGCCTACTATTATTAAATTTCAAAAAAATAGAAAAGAGTTGATTTCAATCCTAATAAACTACATAATCCAACTTGACTTGTCTGACTCACTAAATTCTAGTTAATTATTACCATTTAACCTTGCAAATGTTTTATATGCTCGCATGACTGCACAAAATGAGGCATTCGAACTATTTCTTCAATTTCATTGGACACAGTTAAAATATTAAACAAACAACATATGAAACAATCAATAGTTAAATACCACGTTCCCGTTTAAAGCTGTGTTTTATATGCAAATCTCTTACCGGACAAAATGTGGTTTCCTCACAAATGAAGTTTGCAAGTTGTTCTTGAAACATTGACAGTGATGTGCACAGCAGAACGGCGTCACGCGACCTCGAGCCAACCTCCTCTTCTCTGTGTACGTACGGTACGAGCAAAGAAAACACCGACAAGCTTGCTTCCGTTGCCGAGCTTGCATTTATAAAGTGTGTATCAAGTAGGGATACATCCTGGTTCACACAAATGCAAAGTTGATGCAATACGTCGACATATGCCAACTCGATATCGCCCGTTTGCTTGCCCATACACGAGCGAAGTAATCGTCTCAACGGCGCGCCAATTTCCTCGAAAATAAGAATCGGTTGCTTGCATCGTTTCAGCAATGTTTTATACAGTTTAAGCTGCTCTTTTATAAGGTCTTTCATACATGTCCGTTGGCTAAGACTCCAGGCAAATATTTCTTCGTATAATCTACACTCAAGGGTGTACTCTAAACACGAACCAAGCTGGCCATCTCGACCGCACGTTTCATCCGAAATAATGTTGATTACAATGTTAAAATGATCCAAAACACGCCTACAATCGTCTGGCGAAGATTTACTCGTCTCAGTTGTAAGCAAAACATCCTGGATGCTTTTGCAATGACGCTTCAAGGCATTCACAATGTCATTTTCGGGCGAATCACTTGCAGAGTGTTTGACGTCTCGTTCGTTTGGACTTGGAGATGCGAGGCTACTCGAAGACGAACTCAAATTAGTAAGCCGTCGAAATATACTCATCCTTTAATGTTGTAATGTCAGGAAACGCTCAAATGAATGAGAAAATTCAGTGAAATACATTGCCAAAAGTCTATATATTTTATGCATGAAAATAATAACACTTGCAAAATTGAAATTAAAATTCAACTTCCCTGAGACGAGAGGGACTGGAACGAGGAAATTGGTATTCCCGCCAAATTGCGTATTTCCGCTATGGAATCACATGTTGTGTGTTATTAAAAATTATGAACCGATTAAAAATGGCTACAAAATCACCTTATTTTGCTTCAGGAACGTCGACTTTGGTCTCAGTTGGCCGCACATTACGGTCAGCAAGCCGTAGAAACCATGTCAAGATAGAATACGAGAGTAAAGAAGAAACACGAAATGATAGCGAAGGAAATACAAGACAATCGAAGAGCGATAATTTCGGCAATGGCAGTGCAGATCAAGAGTCGCATCCACGTGCAAGCAAGCGCCCTAAAAAGGAGACAGACAGCGTGAAAGTCGAGACAGAGAATGCTGGCACTTGGACACCAAAGAACTGGCAGCAACAGTTGGAAAACATCCGTGAAATGCGACGAGACCGCAATGCAGCTGTAGACCACCAGGGCTGCGAGAGAACAGCCGATGTCACTGCTCCCCCTGAAGTACAACGATATCAAATCCTTATTTCCCTGATGTTATCAAGTCAAACTAAAGATCAAGTCACTTTTGAAGCTATGAGAAAGTTGAAAGAAAACAATCTTACTGTTGAAAATATCCTAAAAATGTCTGAGGATAAGATTGGGGAGTTGATAAAACCAGTTGGATTTTGGAAGAAAAAAGCAGGTTATATCAAGAAGGCAACTGAAATATGTCATGAGCAATATACAGATGATATCCCACCTACTGTGGAGGAACTGGTTAAACTTCCGGGGGTGGGACCCAAGATGGCATACATTACTATGAATGTGGCTTGGAATAAATTATCTGGGATAGGTGTGGATACTCATGTACACAGAATTTCCAACAGATTGGGCTGGGTCAAGAAAACAACAACAGTACCAGAACACACTCGTATTGCTTTAGAAAGTTGGTTACCCAGGGAGGAATGGAATGACGTCAATGTATTGTTGGTTGGTTTTGGTCAGCAGATATGTCTCCCTGTCAAACCTTTATGTAGCAAGTGCTTAAATGTTAATATTTGCCCATTTGGAAGGAAAAATAAAAAGAAATAGCTACTGAAGGACATGGGTGAATTATTGTTGAAAAGCTCCAGAACTGGTTATCTAAACTAGAAGTTGTGGAACATTAAATCACATAAAGTTATTAATCTTAGTTGTCAATTTGGTCCATAGGAATAATAGATATCAATTATTTCTATGATTTGATCTCTCTAGTCAAGACTTTAAAGGCTGTTATTGTTGGACAGTTAATATAAATCACAATTTGGAAGTCAATTTTTTTCCGGCGTTACATGAGATTATCCCTTCAAGATAAAATTCTTTATTGGAACAATGAAGAATTCATTGGCAATATAAGCACATTATAATTTGAAGGGCAGCTGACTTTGGCTTTCTAATATGGTGTACACAATATATAAACTGTTGTAATATTACTAAATGTACTGTAGTTGATTCATTTTGTTAACTTAAATCGTCTGGAATTCTACTGTGATTTTTTATTGGCCATCATCCCCAACTGCCAATCTAACCAAAACATACCCTGTATTTCCCAACATTTTTATCAACTGGATCGACAGCCACATAAGGGCATTGGCATACAGTATTACAGAATACCATGCATCCTAGAGTACAGTATTTGGCTTAACACATTCACAGTACCAGTGCCCCCATTTCAGAGTTCCCAGTCCCAAGGTATTCTCCCTGTGCACAGATGCAGTTTTACGCTGGTTGAGCGTTCCACTGACAGTTCTAGATTTAGTTTACTCTAATATCAAATCTCAGTGTACCCTGGGTGGTGCAAAGGTTTGGGCGTCAGAAAAGTTTTAAGGGATGAGGCTAAAGGTTCAGCACAAGCAGAAAACCCCCTGATCCATCCAGGGCTGTCTCAGTGGAACACCTCTCGTTTGTTAAGTACTGCTGTCAGTTGTATTCATTACACGCTCTCCTTGGGAAGAAATAATCATGAGTGGTGAAAATAGCAAAATAACCGTTCTGCGGCTAAGCACCGGCATGGTCCCAGTAGGACATGTGTATAACTACTGAAGTACTTTTATTTTGCATCCAATACACTAGTGAAACTAAAAACCTGTAGTGAACCTGTATTGTGCAGGACAGGTGGTTCATTAGACGTAATCGCTGAAGAAAATGCAGGCTACCGTGGAAGTATATTAGTCTGGAATACTGTGACACTAATGAGCTGTCACGGCGAAAGGTGTAAAGTACTCTTGAAAACACTGGACCACCCCCATTTATATCAGAATTCCTTGGTGTGCACGTCAACAACAGGATCAGCTTCACGGAGTATCTCAGCAGGATCTTTACCCAAAAACTTTGAGAGCCGTTGAGTAGTGTGTAGCCGCTACAATCCTGGCTAAAATTATTGTGGACAAGTATACGTCCTTTAAAAGTCAATTAGCCGAACTTCCGCTTGAAGTGGAAGACGTAGTTAACTTGACATTTTACCATAATAAGAAGATTATTAAGTGTATAATTTAAGCCGGCTATCTTTAAAAGCAGGAACGGGGGAATCTGGGAACGGGGAATGCGAAAAACAGGAACGCGAAAAGCCGGAATCTTTAAAAACAGGGACGCGAAAAGCCGGAATCTTTTAAAACAGGAACGCGAAAAGCCGGAATCTTTAAAAACAGTAACGCGAAAAGCCGGAATCTACTCCTAATGACCTTTCTGGAGGTATTCAAGTCTTGTTTAGGCAATAGACTTATGACCCAGTTGTTGCCAGTTTAATTTGCAGTCCTGCGAGCTTTTAAGAGGCATACAGAGTAAAGCCCCATACAGACCAGCATGTTATCCTTGACAAGTTTTCCTTGTCAACCTTTACTTGTTCGTGTGTCAAGATGTCATTCCCGAACTACCATGGCTTCAGTGACAAGCACCATTTATTTTGACAAAAAAACAAAAACTGTTTAAAATGTGCAAGTAGTGCATGACACCAGCAAAAATAGCATTTTGCATGTTTTCCGGCAAATATCTCTTGGGAATTTCCTGCTAGTACTTTCCACGCTAGCCCGTCTCATGTGAAGCTTACAATTATTGGCAAGGCAAGCTCGTTCCCAATATGAACAGCACCAAATTAGGTTAGAAACAACTTTATATGCATTGCATCTTTGTTAATTGGAAGATTAGCGGTCATTAGCCTATATTGTTACTAAAAGTATGACAGCTGATATGTTGATGACATACCGGTGTCATATACAAATTTGCACGCAACATAGCCTGCGTGCAGGCCCAACAGTAACATGCACTTGCTAAGTGCACTACCAACCTTGGAATCCGACTGATAATTGACCAACCTAGAGCTTTCTACCTCGATATCGCTGCCTGTAGCTCACCTGTAAACTCAGTAACTCCCCACACATATGACAAAATCTAGTACAAGGTTGTTGGCTGTTGCCATTGATATTCAGCCTCAGGGGCATAGTTTTAGACATAAGTTTTTGATATATTTTATTTGGTAGACGACGATTTGGTCTTCGGAATACTAAACCAATCTGAGCTAAAGATATACTTGCCTCTCCCCCATATAGTTTATATGTTAAAAGAGGCCTTTTTAATTTCATAATTCTCTTTCATCTACTCATAAATACTATAGCCATACAATCAAGTTTCTTCTCAGGAAGGTCTTATATTAATGGTCTAGTACTATACCGTGGAAAGTTTCATTTAGAATTTCCAAGTTTAGGAAAGTTTCATTTACAATTTCCCTGGTAAGACTTGTTTTGTAGTAGAAAACCTAGACACCGTGCGTGTTCATTAAACAATTAAACAGTTGTGTTAGGCTCGACATTGGAAGGTGTAATATCTGGAACATTTGTTATCTTGAAATCCAGCAGCATCTGACCCAATGCTTTACCCTGGAAATACAAACGTTTCAGTTAAAATGGCATCTTCTATCTATTATTTTTTGATAGAAATCTGTTACAAAAGCCAAATAATACAATGAACAGCAACCTTTGTATGAAGTACAACTACCTGAAAAAATATCATATTATCTAGATTATATTGTTAGGTCAACTGAACCTTTTATACTGTGGTGATCCCTTTCCCCTATTGCGTGTGCCCAACGCAATTCCCATGATGCTTACGAATATTACTTTGTCGTATAATTCAACTCCACGTCTGAGTATAGCATTCCGGTGGTTGTGGACGCGGAGTGTGTGATAGGGAAGACGGTCATTAAATTTTTTATATAGCTTTCTCGATACATGAACAATCTTAACAGCTTCAAATTACTCAAATATTTCATTCATGAGTCCAGAATTTCAATGAGGATCTCATATAGCGAAAACGGTATCAACATGTCGTTTGTCTTTATCGTTAGAAATTTGCATATCATAACCCTGTTTGTTTCAATTTGTGGCCTGTTAATTTGTTTATCTGTTTAATATGGTATGGCACCCTTTGGTAACAGCCTTCAATGGCGGATTTATGTCATACTTTCATTTATTTATGCACTATATTCCAAATATGACACTGACCTGCGGATCACTTCTTAATGATGCTACACCACCACCTCCAAGAGAATTTTTTAACACAAAATTCAATGCATTAATACCAGGAAGCTCGTACCTAGAAAGTTTGACGCAAAGTCAGAACACATAATTTTTCAGTTTCAATCAATAAGAGGACTTGTGATAGTTACACGGGTAAAAATCTTACAACTTGTTAACAAGTTGTGTTCGCACTGCTCATTCCCAGTTGTCGACAAGTCTGGAACAAGTTGTTATCATCTTGCAACAATGTTGATGAGGCCAACAGACTCGCAACAAGTTGTTCCAGCAAGTCTGGTGTCGTCTGCACGTAACAAGCTGTTAACAAGTTGATGACAACAAGGCACTATAGTCTTGTTGGAACAACTTGCAGCAAGTCTGTTACCGTCATCAACCTTAACTTGTAACAAGATGATAACACAGGGCTGCAAATAAATATTTGACTTGACAGGACATTTGTCCGATCACTTTTAATTTTGGTCGGACATAACTTGAATTTGGTCGGACAAAAACCAACACCACTAAATTTGGTCAGACATATACAGTATACGTCACAAGATATATATAAGTCACGAGAAAAGTATGTATAGATATTCCGATGCAACGTTAAGTTAAATGCTATAATGCCTCATAAATATTATTGCAAAATGCAAATTGAGTGAATTTGCAATCGGATTTTGTGACAGCAAAAAAATGTATGTGACAATTTTTTTTGTGATCGGACCAATGTCCGATCAAAATTACTTTTGCTCGGACATTTGCCAAATTTAGTCGGACATTGTCCGATGTCCGACAGTAATTTGCAGCCCTGACAACTTGTTCCAGACTTGTCACAACAACTAAGAACAAGCAGTACATGGGAACATCCTGATATCGGCTTGACAACAACCTTGTTACAACTTGTTTGCAGATCTGTAGTTCAACTATAATATTGGCCAAAAACTACTGGAAGGAGAAAATTGTCGTTGTCTTATACACACAACGCCATTGTGAATTTTCGATTACGTGAATTTGCACTGTAGTGTTTATGTCATTGACATCAATATCGATCATGCACGTATATTTCTTTAGGCACTTTGCAAACCGCCACAAATAGGTCTAAACAATTTGTGACTGGATGGCATGAATAGTGGAATAATTGGATCTTGTTATGATCATACATGCATGGGTACAGTTAAGGAATTACAGTAGCAAGGAGAACGGGTCTACTCATGTGGATCTTGTTATGATCGTACATGCATTAGCCTGCTCGCAGCTCGAAATTTCGTTCAAAGGAAATTTACAGGGGTGTATATAATTACCAGAGGGGTTTCTTCCCCCCCCCCCAAAATTTTGGAAGGGTTACTTTCTTCCCCAATCCTGGAGCGGTTCGGACTCCTAAGAAAATAATTAATGATTGATCAGGAGTAGGTAATACTCTGGTTTTGAAGTAAGGTTGATGTTCATTTCAAAAATTCATATATTTTACAAAACTACATGTGTTAATTAATATTATTTCATTTAATATTGTTATTACGAACAATATATATTGAATTATTTATTCAAGGGGCCTACTTAGTAGGATTAGTAATTTGTATTCTATTAAAATACCAGAAGGCAGTATATAAAAAGCATGAATTAATAACCATTGGAAGAATTTACTTCACGCGTAATTGCGTAAAGTCAGTTCGGTGGATAGAAACAAGAGAAAACCATTATTATCTACTTATGAACTTTATCTGAATATTACATCAAGTAATGTCATCATTGCCGCTGACCTATACAAACTCTGGGCGCACGTCGAAGTTGATAAACAAAACAAAAGATTTAAATTAAAGAACTGATAAGTAGTACAAAGTTACAAATATGACAAGGCCAAAACATGAGGGAGGAAGAAAGAAAGGGAGGCCACAAAGTCTTGCTGGCCAGGTGGATACTCCGCTTTCCCGGCAAATATACAAATGCAGGGTTTGTGACATTGAGAAAAGTAAGGAAAATCGGAAACCCTAATTTTCCGTTTCAGATTTTCAGGTGGGGGCTGCGAGCAGGCTAGCATGCATGGGTACAGTCAAGGAATTAGCAAAGAAAACGGGTCTACTCATGTGTATAAACTTTTAAACAGAAATCACTCCTCCTGTAGACCTCAAAACTACGCCAATCCTCGTCAGATTAATGAATTGAAAATCACACCTGTAAACTTGGCACGTTTTCATGTCAGACTCTTCAAATAAGTGCTTAAAGTATTCTTGTACAGCTTCAGGAGTTAGAGCAGCACGAATAAATGGTAAATATGACGGATGGCGGGCTATGACTCCTACAATGGGAAAATAAAGATGAAATATGTTACAAGGACGATTTGTATAAAAAAAACCCTATAAAATTGCTAACAAATTGCATTCTGACTGAAATAGCAACTTGTAAATTCTGATTAAAAACAAGTTGGATGCTACAATCTTCGACATTAATCTTGTGACCCTAAAAAAACCTTGCTGGACCCACCACTGCAAGGGACTAGGGCGTCGACTGCCCAGCTTGTACAGTATGCTAAAAATCTAACTAACGTATAGTAGTAGTTAACAATGTTTGAACGTACCTATATTAACGCTGTTTCCTTTATCACCACTACGAGTATGAGCTAAAGCACTGAGAGGAAATGTGCAAGCTCCTTGTGGAAGATCTGAAAAGAGATTTCCTTAATTAAAACAAAATTACTAATTCACTAACTGTCTACTATACAGTTAACAAAAAAGAAAATTTTAGATGTTGTTTTATTCCAACACTTGAGCGGGGGCTTTCAAAGATCACACCATTAAGTGTAGTGCTTTCGGAAAAGAAGATTTGCAAATGCGTTTCCCTTTATATTATTTATATCGCTCCATGATTTGAACAGGATATTAATATTGCTCCATGATTATATTAATATCGCTCCAATTTATATTTATATCGCTCCATGATCTGAACAGAATATTTATATCGCTCCATGATTTGAACTTCCTATTCGTACAAAATCTTTTCGACAATTAGGGGTGTGTCAAATGTCTTTCTCTAAAAAGAGGAATTATCGGAGAAGACGAGGGTTAATACACGAGCTACGGTCTAAATCTTATAAAGAATCACTCAAATAACTACCCTGCGTGAAAGATTCTGTCTTTTGATTTTCTGTTGGCTGTTCGTTAACCAAGGGTTTTGGTAACGTCTCAATTAATTCTTCATTAACATGTAACTGTAACGTCACTTCTTCTTTTGGATACAAGAAGGAAAAAAGTTTCAAAACTGGTGTCCTAAAATTTCAAATGAGGAAAGTTTATTACGCCGACCAACATCAGCAGCTTCGCCACGTTGAACTTACTTCCAATGTTTATATTACTTTGGACAAACTTTAAAACTGGGCAAAGCTTTGCTATAAGTTGAATACGCGGTTTTTTGATGCTTTAATGAATTACTTCTAAATACCAGGAGGAGTTAACTAATTAACATATACATATCATTATGTACATACTATGCTACGAAACAAAATATACTGTTATTTAAAAGTAATTGATAAGAAAAAACACAAACAAAAACAATTTCAACAACAATAATGAGAACAACAAGAGTAACAAAATAAAACACGTGGTACTAATTAGTAAGTTAATTAAACTGTGAACGACTTGATCGAAAGTATAACAATTGACTTCAAACTTGGAATGCTAGGTTGCGAAGAGGGATTAAATGGAATGTGATTCCATGTGATAATTGTTCTTGTTTAAGCGCACTGCCTATATCACTCAGTTAAACCTGCTATATACTGCACAAGTCAGTGGCGTAACTGGAGGGTGTTTGGATGTCCAGAGATGCCCCACGCCTGGGGGCCCCCGGCAAAAATTACCATACAAAATTTTGCTAGTACATTGGGAAAATTGTCCCTAGCCTCAGTTATAGAGGGTCAGATAATTTGAAACGGGTGGCCCCCAAAAGCAGGATTAGTGAAATTGTGAAATTTGTGACTTTTTTTTACTTGTCATAGACCGGAATATTTTCTTAACACCTTTTTTTTAAGGAGTATGGTTCGAAAAAAAATTTTCTTTTTAATTTTTTTGAAAAAAATAGGGCCCCACTTAAAAATTTGACGGGGGGCCTCAGAAGGTACGGTTACGCCACTGGTATAGGTCGAGGTTCAGAATACTTGATGTGATTGGAAATACATGTAGGCAGAGTTGTTCTTTCTCGTTTATGTTCCGAGGGCTTTTCCGGGTTCTCAGGTTTTCTTGTCTCACAGACTAACCCTCAGTGGCCGAGCACAGGAATAAAAATCTTACTATTCATTCACCAGTTGCTTTTAATTTCACAATACCAATGAAGGCAACGATTAGGTATAATAAATCCACTTTCCTCTCTGGAATCAGTGCGGTTGCCTACGGGTCAATTTCATTGGATTTGCCACATGCATTTATCATATATATGATGCATTTATCAATTGTTACTGTCAACTGTTACTGACAAACCTTATACAAAATGCCGATTATAATAGTCATATGGACTTGTAAAAAAATTACGAGTTCTTTTGCAATCTGAGCCTATTTAAATAAGGGTAATTCACTTTCTACTTAGTTCCGAAGCATTTTAAGAAGCGCAATTATAACTTACGGTTTTGGCCTTCCTCCAACAATACCGGTTAGCCCAGGTGCTACAGAATTACAAATAAAATGTTTAAAAATGGCTGAAATTAACATAACATTGCATAAATTTTGCAACGTGTCATTTCAAATAGTTGGAAGAAAAACCCACTAACACCAGGGCGTGGCTTCCTACTAAATTGTTTTTATTGCAAAACCATAACATCTTCCAAGAGAGCTTTTTTGTTAGGATATATTTCACAGCCATATTCGACAATATACACAATTGCATTTGAGTATATTCTTCTGGGGCATGGTTGTACGCGAAGGCCGGATAGCGCTATCAACAGCAACAACAACAACAATTCTTTTTAAGCAAAAACAAAAAAATTACAAACATTTGACAGTTGTCCGCAGGTAGCAAAAGCCATTTTGTCTGGAAGACCACGAGTTATAAATCAAAATTACACAAAAGTTTCAAAATATATGCAATAATAATAATTTATCCTTAGAAGAGTTTAGCCGAATTTATCCTTAATTGTTATATTTTTCAATCTTTTTGTTAACGTTGCGATATCAACATAATCCTCCTCATTTGTAAATATAGAAACTAATACTTAATGTAATGTTTTCTTAAATTTATTCTTTGGAAAATTACGTATAAGTCACATGGAGTACTGTTCCATATTCTTGGACCAGTTTTGGAAAAGGAGTTATTCAGTTTATTTAAACATGAATGTTTCACATAAAATTTAACGTTGGAAGAAAATCTGTTATTATAGTTATGTATGTCATGAGTATAAGTAGCCTAAAGAGATTTGATATATGTAGGATACAGCGGATAGCGAGTCTTTCAAGGCTATCATGCTACCGATATGGCCCTCACAACTAATATGAAGAAACTTAAATCTATAAATTCTAAAGTTCAATCTGCGTTATACATTGCAATCAGCAGACAATTTTAGAAGGCTTGAAGAAATCACGATACAGTTGATAGCGCTCTCCGGCCTCAACGGTCTTGCGTGCATGATGGGTTATTTATCGCCTCACTAGCTGGGACCTGTACATTTCTTTAGACTTTCCTGTCAGGAATGTGTCCCTTTAGTGAAGAATTTGGGTGTTATTCTCATGTAGGGCCTGCAGGTAAATTGTCATGCGTTCTGGCGTCCTCGCGTGCATGGCAAATCTTAAATCAGGTCATAAAAAACCTGATGAAAAAATTGGGTTGACCATGCAGGTCTGTTACCGTACATAGGGTGCATTAAATAAGACGTAAAAAATGTACAAACCCATTCCTGTTCCAGCCGAAGCAATTTCCATTGAAAATATTCCCAGAGCTTTCAGTTGTTGATGATGTACAGCAAACCACAGGGCACCTTCTCTTGTATCCTATTCAGAAAGAAATATATCCCGAAATTGTAGGACACTTTATCCAGCAAAGAAATTACGCACTAGAGAAATTACACGTAGACACGCCGACACGGGCATATATGTTATACAATATGTACTAAGTAACTGAGGTCTATATAGACTGCGTGCTAGTTTGTCTCAAATTTTCTGGCAAGTAATGAAAATGACTAATCTATAAAATGGACCAAATTGTCATCGCTCATACTTTTACAATCTAAAAACACTAAAATTTTCCTGGTCAGTCTAGAAATAATCCTATTTGCTTAACTATAAATATTCATGGATAAATTGCCTGAATTCCGACCGAAAAACGATTTGATTCCAGTTTGTGATTACTACTTCGAAATTTTGAGAACATTCTTTTCTGGTTGGAGTCTTTTATGATCTTTAAGTATTCTTTTAAATTATAACGGTTTTTAAATGTTGTACAAAATGATAATTTAGTAGAATTAGCCTACTAATTTGTTGTTTCCAGAATGATATGTAATATTTTCTAACTGTCTCTATGGTTAAATCATTTGGTTCCATATCATTGACGAATTTTTCGATATCTATAGGTTGACGTATGACTGGGTAATTTTTTTGAAAGACCATGTCAAGTCCGTTCTGCGCATCAGTTCTGCTCATAACAAAGGGGGACACACAGGTATAAACAACACCGCGGAAAAACGTCTGCGCATGCACCAAATTATGAAAATATGGCGGGGAATTTGAATATCAATTTCTAAAACAAAAACATGCTTATTAATTGGTCAAAAATTAGTAAAACAAACGAGAAAATATAGCAAATGGGTAGACTAGACATTAATTGAAAGCGTCCTGGCATTTAAAGTATGGAATGAAATATAATTCGTGCAAAAAAATGTTGATTTTAACGGACACGACTTCGAACATTTTTGAAAAATTATTCAAAACAAAAATTCAAACTAAAAAGTTAAGAAAACTCTCGAAAAGTTAAGCTTCTTAACCCACTGAAATTGTAGAATAAATCCTAAAGTTTAATTATTGTGAACACGAAAATTTTTTATATTTGGCGACACAGTTTTTTTTAAAGAAATGTATCTCAAACGAAAATTCGGAAATTGTCGTAGCTTAGTTGATAAACAAAATGTTTCAGACGATAAATTTGTCAACAATCACCTTTAGTCCATGTTCTTGTACAATACAATTTCTTGAACCTTCTGGCTGTATTTATTTCTAGTTTTTAGAATGACATGTTTATTTTTGCGCTTGAAATCTGGCTGTAAAGACACACAATGAAGTCACTCCTTTTTACCGCCATTTTGAGCCTTCGGAAACGTTTGGAACAGCTTCTCATCAAGTTCGCAATACTATTACAGGTAAGGGTGACGCATGCGCAGACGTTTTTCCGCGGTGTTTATAAACATTGCCCAAATTTTGCATCTTGAATTGAAACGTACTCTAGTTTATATTCATTTACAATAGCGAACCAGAAAGATGTTAGATATTCAGTTAGTATGTCTTATTTTACAAATATAGCAGTTCAAAATGTAAACAAAGGATTTGTTTACATTACGGACTTGACATGCGCGGTCTTTAAATATGCCGTTTGTGTAAAGTCTTTTTTAGAGGTAAAATGATTGTTTTGCTCGTTAGGTTTGTTATTACTTCTATTGATCCAGAGAACATTTCTGCAAAAATATTTCCATGTTTATAAACAAACTGTTCGGAAGATAACTTTGAATTTTTCGTTAACCTAAGATTAAGCTGACTTTCGAATATTCATGCACCTAACATATAGTCTGGTTACTTTAACAAGGGCGTCCTGGTCTAATATATAATCAGATATTCCTGTCAGGTTACATTAACCACACTATGGTAGAAAGCGGGATAAAATAACCAGGAAATATAATCAGGAATATTACGTTAACCGAAAATCTCAAACTCATTAATAATTCATGGTTCAAAATTAATTCCGTCTTTGAACTGGATCAAAATTAATTCACCACACTTTATGTAGTGATTTATTCGTATGAGATGCCATTTCTAGATTCCAAGTCCTCGCATTTTGATCCAGTTCTCGGCTTCGCCTCGGCCTTGATCAAATTACGCGGACTTGAAATCTAGTCCAGTCCTCATAGTCGGATTTGAAATATTACTTAGAACAGTATTATTTCTAGCTTAACCACGAAATTTTCACCATATATATCTGCACATTAACACGTATAACCTCCCACAAGTAAACCATAATTGCATCTTCCCACCTAAAAGAATGGAGGTAAATTCTAAGATCTCTACTCACTTCCACAAAGGTCCGTCTCGCATGATCTCCATACGTATCTTCAGCACCAAGAACCTATACAACGGAGTTTTGCAAGCGTTATTCCAATCTGCATTACAAGATTACTGAAATGTGATTTGTTGAAAGAATCAGACATAGTGCTACAGTGCGATGTCCTGAGTATCCGAAAACAAGTACACCACAAGCACAAAGACATACAATATTTGAATAAATATCAAGGCTTATGATTCCGAACAAAGTAAGAGTGTCATGGTCATTATTTATAGAGCTAGGGTGGCACCGAAGAGAAAAGGTTTGGGTAAACAAAATTTTGGGTGAGTAAAAGGTTGGGTAATTGAAAAAAAAACTGCTCGAGGGTTGAGTATATAATAAAAATTTATTGTCTTTCCAAAGCATGACTCACTCAAATGTTGAAGACTAAAAAGAAATGTCAACAGACATATCTCAATAAAATATGTAAATCAATCAATCAGAGTCACTTTCCGATTTGTCAGAAGGCAAATGGTGTTTCCAAAGAAAGTACATGTGCAGACAACATGAAACTTTAGACTGCAGAAATTGCACAAGCAGTTATCAAACTCGTGTCACAGAAGTGACAACTGAATTGTATCCTTTTGTAACGTTTTTAGCCAGGGGTGCATGGTATATATTTTTAAATTAATATTCGAGGTTGAGTTAAACTTTTTTAAAACTTTTTAATGGTTGGATCGGCAAAATGTTTACCAAAACATTTCTCTTCGGTGCCACCCCCAGCCATAAATAATGAGCGGTCCCTAAGAAACAAACAAATTCACGTAGCGTATACAAAACGATGCCTAACTTCGTTTGGGCAATTACAAAATGAAGTGAAGAAGGGAGGGCTTTGACACGCTCAGCGCATGCTCAGGGAAAAGACAATGAACTATAGAATTCATCTTTCTAAAGAACGAGTCATAAACACTGATCACTATTGTTTCGTGCATGAGCCAAATCAGCCAATCACAAAACACGATCATTTTTATTGGTATTTACCCCAAATATGCTCAATATGAATGTAAAACGTTTCAGTTTGCCTTCGATAATTTCTGCAGTTTTATAAAATAATATTCTGTAATCAAAATGGTTAAAATTTTTTGAGAAATAGCTGATTACTTTTGACATTTTGTCCACTGTTAAAACTCATTAAAATCTCACAGATTGTGTATATTGACCTATATTGTATATAGATAGCGCTATCCACCGGATGATTTTTTAACCATTCCAAAAATGCCTGAAAAGATGTGAAAGCACAGTTATTTTTTTAAACCCTGCGATTAATAAAAAGGAATTTTAATTTATAAAAAACCCAATTCTAGCAAGTACAATCTGCCCCTATACTATATATAGGCATGATATTAAGCGAGATTAGGCCAGCAGCATTAATAGCTGAGCAGACTGAACAGCATTTTGACTAACCTGGATGTGTGTTCTCGTATAGTCATCAAATCCACGAAGTTTAAATAATTTTCTAGTTCTAAACAAAAAAGTCCAACGTTTCCATATAGAGATTTTCAGAGACAAATATGGCTCTGTGCCAGATGTTGCGTTGCAAATTGCAACAAAAATCGCCTGAATGACATGGTCTTTAGTCCTTTACACGAAGTATGCAATGCTAATGATTCATAATATTTTGAAACAAAAGTCAAATTATATTAAATTATAGGATATTTAGCTTAAATGACTTATAAAATATTCAATCCACCTTTACCTTTTTAAAATACTCTCGGCAACTCGTCTTGCCTTTGCGGCCGCATTGGGTCCTCCAACTGGGCAAACAGCTGTTGCCCTGAAACCATCAGAGTAAGTTGCACTCACCTGAGAGAAACAAAATGTAAAATTTTCACACCTTGTGACTTGTCAACCTGGGGCCGGTTGTATAAAACTCTTAATAACTTTTTTGATCACTATTTTGTAGTTAAATAGTGATTAACTCTCAAATACGCGCTTCTTATTGGATGACGTTTCCACTAACTATAATTAACTTTAATCACCTTTTTATACAACCGGCCCCTGGTGAATAAGAAAGGGCGACGGAGCACCGGCGGCCGGAGCTCGGGCATTTTGTTGTCAGAGGTCGCGGAGTTGTATATATTTTCCCACTCTGTCTATCTCCTCTGGTCATTCGCACAATCACAAAGCACAAGGACAAATAAACGACACGTACGACAAACAAAGAACGATAGAATAACAATACACCAAAACGAGTGTTACTTAACGGAGGACCCCCACCCCCATGCGGATCGGGCAAAATTTCGAAAGTGTGTTTGTTTTCGTTCACGGCCAAGCGGTTGGATAAAAGGGCAGATTATTTTTCAGTTTATCCAAATCCACGCATGTCGTTTTTCAGTTTACATTATCTACGGGAGCCAGAGGTGGACTTCAAGCCTACAAACCAGCTGTGGTGCGGAGTTAAAAAACCGGAATTAACCCACCCTTACTGGTCAGTGAATAATTAATAACAATGCTGTTATGTTATCTAACGCAAGGTCTGTTCAAATCGACCCAACAATGCCAAACATCATGTAACAGTGTTGAAATACTTAGTTTAACCACGGTTAATAGAATTTAACTGCATATATTTTCATATGCTTTTGGATACAATCAGACGATTTATCCAAATTGAAAATCCTTGCTTTAAAATAGTTGGAAACAGTAAAGAACGATGTTTGAAAACTGTTGAATAAGATCACACGATTTATCGAAATTGAAAATCCTTGCTTTAAAATAGTTGGAAAGAGTAAAGAACGATGTTTGAAAACTGTTGGATGGTGTTGGGACAATATTGAACAGACCTTTGCAACCTGTCACAAATTGCACTGTTTAAACATAGGACGATGGTAACAAGTTGTTGGAACAACTTGCAACAATTCTGCTTTAAGTTGGAAGAAATTACAGTGCGTTCATAATACAATACCAGACATGATACGATATGATACCACAAAACGCAACACAGCGAAGCGCAACACAGCGCAACACAGCGCAGCGCAACACAGCGCAGCGCAACACAGCGCAGCGCAACGCATCACAACACAACACAACACAGCGAAGCGCAACACAGAGCAACACAGCGCAACACAGCGCAGCGCAACACAGCGCAACGCAACGCATCACAACACAACACAACACAGCGAAGCGCAACACAGCGCAACACAGCGCAGCGCAACGCAACGCATCACAACACAGCACAACACAGCGAAGCGCAACACAGCGCAGCACAGCACAACGCAACGCATCACAACGCAACGCATCACAACACAGCACAACACAGCACAACACAACACAACACAACACAACACAACACAACACAGCACAACACAATGCAACGCAACACAATACAATGCTTTGCAATGCAATGCAATGCAATACAATGCAATTTTCACAAACCAAAATTTATGCCTGATCTATTGTCAGTAGATGTACAATGAAGTAGTACAAAAATTAACAAACCTTGTAAGTGTTTGGAGGAGGCTTCCCTTTCGCGCCTGTTACGACAACTGCTTGATTTTTATCTTCTAAAATTTAAACCAACATAAAAACATTGTTTATTGAGTTAGTGGAAAACTAGCGGGTTATGTTGTTTTTTGTTGTAATAATTGTATGTGGTATACGTATACGAATCCTGTTCCGTTAGCTTTACTAGGTTTTAAATGATGTTCTGTTGCTGTTCACCCATAATTCAATAATTTCATAATTGATGTAATAATATACAAGAGATATTCTGATTGGCCATATATCGGTAGTGCAATTTTTATTATTGGAAAATAGTGCCAAAAATTTAATTCGGTGCCAAAAAGTAATATCTTGCAAGTCCCACACAAAAGATGTGTTGATTCAAGTTTTGACTTCTGACAGTTGCAAACTTGTATTAAGTTTTTTTTCTGTGTTGGTGTTGTGTACTCAGGTGAATATGATGTTTGTGATGTTATACTCTGAGTGTATATCCACACCAGGCGAGCTTGAAAAATATGCCCGGCCACGGTGGGAATCGAACCTACGACCTTTGGAATACTAGCCCAAAGCTCTGCCAACTGAGCTACGCGGTCAGGACGGTTCGAGTAAGTGATATTTCGGAACAGAATCTAGTTCATTCGATACCAATGTAATCTAGTAACATGATTTTTTCTGTGTTGGTGTTGTGTACTCAGGTGAATATGATGTTTGTGATGTTATTCTGAGTGTATATCCACACCGGGCGAGCTTGAAAAATATGCCCGGCCACGGTGGGAATCGAACCTAAGACCTTTGGAATACTAGCCCAATGCTCTGCCAACTGAGCTACGCGGCCAGGACGGTTCGAGTAAGTGATATTTCGGAACAGAATCTAGTTCCTTCGATACCAATGTAATCTAGTAATATGATTTTTCTGTGTTGGTGTTGTGTACTCAGGTGAATATGATGCTTGTGATGTTACTCTGAGTGTATATACACACCGAGCTTGAAAAATATGTCCGGCCACGGTGGGAATCGAACCTAATACCTTTGGAATACTAGCCGAATGCTCTGCCAACTGAGCTACGCGGTCAGGACGGTTCGAGTAAGTGATATTTCGGAACAGAATCTAGTTCCTTCGATACTAATGTAATCTAGTAATATGATTTTTTCTTTATTGGTGTTGTGTACTCAGGTGAATATGAATAGGAACAAGATTCTGTTCCGAAATATCACATACTCGAACCGTCCTGACCGCGTAGCTCAGTTGGCAGAGCGTTGGGCTAGTATTCCAAAGGTCGTAGGTTCGATTCTCACTGTGGCCGGGCATATTTTTCAAGCTCGCCCGGTGTGGATATACACTCAGAGTAACATCACAAACATCACAAACATCATATTCACCTGAGTACACAACACCAACACAGAAAAAATCATATTATTAGATTACATTGGTATCGAAGGAACTATAGATTCTGTTCCGAAATATCACTTACTCGAACCGTCCTGACCGCGTAGCTCAGTTGGCAGAGCGTTGGGCTAGTATTCCAAAGGTCGTAGGTTCGATTCCCACTGTGGCCGGGCATATTTTTCAAGCTCGCCCGGTGTGGATATACACTCAGAGTAACATCACAAACATCATATTCACCTGAGTACACAACACCAACACAGAAAAAATCATATTACTATAGATTACATTGGTATCGAAGGAACTAGATTCTGTTCCGAAATATCACTTACTCGAACCATCGAACCGTCCTGACCGCGTAGTTCAGTTGGCAGAGCATTGGGCTAGCATTCCAAAGGTCGTAGGTTCGATTCCCACCGTGGCCGGGTATATTTCTCAAGCTCGCCTGGTGTGGATATACACTCAGAGTAACATCACAAACATTGTATTAAGTTGTTGCGTCATTCAAATGAGTGAATATTTTTTTTCGCATGTGACTGGTTCTGTATAGTTGTGAAATTGGTTCTGTATAATTTCTATCATGTATATTATTACTACTTAATAATATGGTTTCTATACCTTCACCGCCAACAATTGGTTCTATCTTGACTTGGGAGAAATCACAATTAACATCAGGAAGAATGTAGTTTTCAGGATCGCCTATTTCGTACACAAGCTAAAATTTGAAGAAAACAAAATCAATCACACAATGTACTGGTGAGATGTTTTAAATATGTCACCAATAAAAAGGTATAAAACGCTCTAAACATCTGTATCATGAAAGCGAGGCTCTATCACAGCAAATAATTTCCATTAATGGGTTTTGAATGGTTTTTAAATTAAAGATTTACCATGTATACTATCAATGTAAAAACCGAACTTTTACCGGTATTGGTTATTATACATTTCCCATATGGTAAATTGGTAAAAAAAAAACATGTTTAATACTTACCATTAATGGTATTTTCCTGGTAAATATTAAACAACATGGTTTTTACTAATTTACAATATGGGAAATCTATAATAACCTATATAACCAATAATGGTAAGAGATTTTACATTCAAGTTTTTCCCTGTGTATAGCAGACGATGTACTTATATTCCCGCCAGATATTTTCGAAACTATGATTTCAGCTGAAGCACGAGAAAGGTTTTATGGCATAGGCGGTCATATATTACTCTATGACGGTATCGAAAACATGGGCACAATAAGCACAGCCAAACAACATGCAGAAACGGAGGTTAAGAAAACTCAGTAACTTTCAACTACAATCCCCCTAAACAATTACCACTTACTGACTAGGACCATTGGGACACAGTATGTGTTGTGGACCCTAGACCGACAATGCATGTTTCCCGAGGCGAAACCACAACTGAACGATTTTATAATTCGCCCATGAATAAAGTATTTTTCACCGTAATTCACAGCTCAAAGCTGTTGCCAAGGGGACAGTCAGTGGACGTTTTCACCAAAATCCCTATTAAATCGGTGGACGTTTTCACTCTCATTCAAAATCCGTACATGCACTGCTATTACAATTTTAGAAACACGAGTATATGTACCTGTTCAGCGACTGTACTTGTGGTGACTATACCACCGGTGTTAGGTGGTTTAGTAACTATAAATTTACCATCGCTTGCAAACTCAACTATTGGGAAACCAATGTTATCCCTGAAAGAAATATAAGCACTGTGACAGCCCCAAATAATTCGACTTATGAATTCATCATATTATGGTCGGGAAGAAAAATGATCCCAGAAAGAGGTTAGAGAGCTTTTAAAAGACAACTTCAGTTCTAATATCCTCGTCATCACCTGGGTCTGGGGAGTGGGTACGAGATTGAATCACACTAGGTTTTCCCCAACCTCGTACCCAGGGCTTCTGCGCTTATTGCTCGTCAGAAGCCCTGGAAGAATCCAACTCAGAACGTGAGTTGATTGGTCAATGCGAATACAATGAAAGTACCGAAAGTTATCCATTAACCGGGTGATATTTTGGCAACATGGCTGCTATCACAAGGAGTGTATACGACGATTACGAAAGTTAAATGCGGGTTTTTGCATGAAAATACCTTTTCAACCAAATTCTGGGCTGTTTAGAAAAGAGCAAAAGAAGAAATGGATATTATTTTTATTTGTAGATAAGCAAGAATGGCGAACAAAGTAAAAATTCAACATAATAAAGCGAAACATTTCTTGTTCAAAAATTCCAAGTATAAATCTACAACTTCAACCACGAAATTCAATGTAAATATTACATAATAAAGTTTTTAATACTTTATTTGCCTTTTATATTTGATAAATTGTTGTGTTCTATATTGTTGCATTTTGCATTGGAATAGGACACAATACACACAATGTTTTACATTTCATGATTTGCAATGATTTTTTTCTTTTTTTCATGATTTTTTTTCAGTGTTTGAGATGCAACATGCAAGTTGCTTTTTTTGCAACTGCCCCTGGTTAGGTCTAATAAATGTATAAAAATTCCATTCGAAATTTCCATCTACAAATCCGTTCTGCAACATTATATATATATATATATATATATATATATATATATATATATATATATATATATATATATATATATATATATATATATATATATATATATATATATACACATATGCGATTCTGACTAACATTTTTTATAGGACTCGTACTTGCTTATTTGTTCTCCACTTGGCATGAAAAACATGTCATTCAATAGCTATAAAATCCTGATATTTCCGAATATGAAAAAATGTTGTTCATACGCCGAGTAATTCACGTACAATAGCGCGCTGAAGTTCGATTACCTTTTTTTAAACACACTGCGTAAGTATATATATATATATATAATCTCAAATTTATTTTGCTAATTGTTATATGTTGAAATGGAAGACTATGCAGAACCGTACGTTCTCTGAAAACTATACGATATTCTGCCGACAGGAAAAATACTTATCTACATGCACCTGATTACTTACATCATAAAAAATATTGAACACATCATCTTACCAATCTGGTGATGTTTGCCAATCTGTTAATATTCCACCTGTTGACTGAGCTCCACATTCAATCAGATGACCAGCAAGACTACAGTTAATATTAGATGAGAACACATTGTCAATACTAAATGCAATTAGCCATTTCCTAAAGTCCTGGGTCTAGTCGCGCAAATCCCATGTTTGGAGGGAGAAGAAATATGGCAACACACATTTAGATTAAACGTTTAATGTAAAAAGGAGATATTTCATTTTTGGTCGTCTGAAAAGTTGATTTTGATAGTAGGTACTTCCACTCTTTCACATATTTGACGCCTGTCACCATATATTTTGTCCCTCCAAACGATCCCAGAATGCACTGTGATCTCTTTTGGGAAAAGGCTAATACAATATAAAACATACACCGGACAATAGCATGTTGTGCTTGCAAGTTTTGAGGAATCTACAACAATACAAGATACGCGGTGATAGATATTTCGATCTTATTTCAAAATCATTGTCAAACCGATTAAATTCCAAAAAAGCTAGCAATAATAAGCAAACCGTTCTTAAAAAACTTGAAAACTCTCGTGACATGATGAAGGGTTCAATGCAATGTGGTAGGTAGCTGAGTGAGTGTGTAGATTTGTCGTAAACCTACCATACATGTTCTGTCTGCCTCACCATCCCTATCTAAGTTACGTGCGCAAATCAAATGATTACCTTCCAGATGCAAGAAGATCAAAATTATTTTCTTTCCAATCAAACTAGAAAACAAAAAGGTAAACCAAAAATTCTAAGTATTGAAGTATTGTTCTTCCAACTTCGAGATACTTCAAGTAAAGCTTGTTTGTCAAAAGGCATGTCTAGGGGATGGTAGGGCGCAGAAAGGTAATCAGATCCACGCCCTGTCAGATCCTAACAATCCCAGAGCGTGTCCCAAATATATTATATGTAACCAAATATTTTCGAACATTGACACGATAAATGCGGTGGCAAATATAATCTGTGGCAACACAATATTTTTTTGGCGGCCAGTTTTGACATCTGTCTAAAAGCCTGGTCTTCGTAACAACCATTAAGTCAAGTATAACAAGAAAGATGACACCACAGTATAGGGAGACAGCCAGTAAGGCCATTCAGGGGAGACAAAAGTGGGAATTTTTTAAGCTAGGTTCCAGACGTCTTGCGCGGTCAAAACCATTTACTCTGTAATACAATTTTGTAGAGAACTGCTGCCGTTTACTGGCTGCCAATATGTTAATTAGGTTGGCAGCCAGTAAACAATGCGGACACTTTTTGATACTGAGTGGCCATACTGTTGTACATCTATACTGTGATACACCAATAACATTTAATTACAAACTTAACAACGGAAACTTAGTACAGACTGAATGTGAACGAGATCTCGGCATTTTTGTGGATAAAAACTTAACCTGGAACAGACAAGTGTACGAGCAGTCGGCCAAATCAAATCAACTATTGGGTTACATCAGAAGATCCAAAATGTATATCCACAACCAGGAAGTGAGATGCACATTATACCTTGCGCTAGTTCGGCCACACCTGGGGTATGCTACCCAAATATGGGCACCACAATCCATCGAACTAATACGCCACCTTGAACGAACACAGAGAAGAGCAAACAATACATCCTCAGTCTTCCATTTTTCTCCTCTACTGACTATACCACCAGACTTCAAACCTTAGGCCTCTTACCGATCTGCTAGACATGGTGCTCTTTTATAAAATAACTCACAAACTAGTAATCATTCAAGCATCCCTACATGCAACTATCCGCACTTCCAGATCCACCAGATCCTCCGCAAATAACAGTTCCAAGTTCGTCGTGCCGAAATGCAAAACAGTAACATACGAAAGATTTTTCATGATTCGGCCATTCGGGCAACTCGAATTTGGAACCATCTCGTTGATGAACTTAATTTGAATACGGATCTTTCTTCATTTAAGTCGGCAATGTTTCCTCTTTGTACTCATGTTACGATGTTGAGGATCCTCGTTGTTATAAAACTATATGTCCTAAGAGCAATTCTGTTCGTAGTCTTACAACGTCATTATTATGCTCTAGTATGTAGGAATTGTTATTACTGTTCTTTGTTGTTTAATATGTGTATTCTTGTAATTTATCTATTCGGGCACGCAGTAATTGGAAATTATCGCTGTTGCGGATTTCCTGCCACTATGGTAATATGTACAAGGCGAATTAAATAAATAAATTTAACAGAAAAAAAATTAAGAATGAAGACTTTTTACAAAGGCTTCGTCGGTTGTTTTCTAAAAATTGTAAAAGCCAGCAGTTAGTTATTGTACTACCTACCGTATGCACGAGAGGTCCTAAGGCTAATGCACTGTCAACACATCGACCCGTAATCACAATATCAGCGCCAGTGTCCAGAGCTCGTGCGATTGGAAATGCTCTATACGAAACAAAGAACACTTATCTATTACTTTGCTTCACACTTTGAGTTTACCTTTATTGGTATAGGTAATCATGCGATGGCGAGTACAATTGGGGATTAATAGTACGAGTGATGTTTGGAAATTTTGCCAAAATTGGACGAGCCGCCGGGGCGAGTCCAATTTGGCAAATTTCCAAACATCACGAGTACTATTAATCCCTAATTGTACGAGCAACAACGCATGATTACTTGTTTATTATTAGCACGACAAGATTGGATAATTCTCAATGTCAACATCATATTCTCTCGCCAAAGTTCAGTCCTGCCAGATTTTCAACCAAAATTTGGTGCTTTAATTTTTCGTATTTTCATTTAGTTCTTCTGCTTTAAGTTCCTCTAGGGCAATTTCGTTTGTGTTTAAATACCTTTCCGCCATTTTGTTTGTTTGTTTTTGGAAAATCATTAATTGTAATGCAGTACAATTAATGAAATAATTGTACTCCTCTCAATAATAAATATCTTTATCGATGTTAGTACAGTACATCACTAAAGGCCGGTATACATTATTACAGTTTCCGCGATCACAGTATAGGAATTTTGCATAGGTAAAGCCCGCCGCACACGAGAGCAATTTGCTGAGCTAACCGCCTCGCGAGGCAGCTAGCTCAGCTATGTATTTTCACCGCACACGTTGGGAGAACTACTCAACAACAACATAATTGACAAAATCATTTGCATTTTCCTCCATTTTGTTCCAAGTCACATGAAGAAACCATGGTTTGTCATTGGCTAATTCATTCAAATAGCTCAGCACTTAGCTCACAACATCCGCAGACGCTGAGATTTTTTCCTCGCGAGGCGAAAAATATCAAACACGATAGATATTTTCCTCAAGGCCTCGAGAGGTCAAATCCTCACGAAAACTATCCGCACACGAGAGCTACTTGCTGAGCTAACCGCTTCGCGAGGCGGTTAGCTCAGCAAATTGCTCTCGTGTGCGCCGGGCATAAATTCTTGCATAGGTCAATTCTTGCACAGGAAGGATTTGTAATATATCTTTCAGGGAACTGACTCACTGTTTAACACCGAGTCAGTTGCCTCGAAGATTTCTTACAAATTCTTCAAAACTTATAATGTATATACCTCTATGCAAAATTCCTACTGTGATCACAGAAACTTTGATAGTGAAAAAATGGCCTTCTCCAGCAATGCTCATGACGGTGCTATACATTTTGCAACCAGTTAAATGAAACGATAACTGTTGCACATCGTTTTCATCAGCCCTTTCCCACCCAACAGGACTAGAATAGTTTAACCCCAAAGAGCTACAGTAACTGTAAATATTACGAAAACGTACGAGGGTTAAAGCTAACTGAGGGAAACTTCGTTATACATGCAACTATGACATTTCGTTATCTTATCAGACACATCACGTTAATTATAGTTTTGTTGAATCGTACTGGTATATTTTTCCAGAATCCATTTCCGGCTGATAATTTCAGCAAAAATAAAACAAAAGTTATTCCGAATAAGGAGTGTATAATTTTAACACGCAATTTATAAAAACTGTATATTTCGAATCTAAATCTGATTCATCTTCAGCAGTGTTTTGCAAGATATGTCCAAGATATGTCCATATAAGACATATCTTGGAAAACACTGCTGAAGATGAATCAGATTTAGATTAGAAATATACAGTTTTTATAAATTGTGTGTTAATATTATGCACTCCTTATTCGGAATAACTTTTGTTTTATTCATTCTAGTATACTACTGCAAATGATGTAACTTGATTGGCTACTCTACTCGCTATCTATTCCTCGATAGATAGCGAGTAGCAAAACAATTCATTAAAAAGAAAATGGCTTCCGGCTCACGTTTTTCTGAGGTTTCTGAGGACGAACTTGATTCTTTACTTGAGATTCTACTAAAACAATTGGATTACTCGCTTTCGATTTCTACGAGGTGATAGTTGATTCGGGCTTCGCCCTCATCAACTATGACCGCGTAGAAATCTCAAGCTCGCAATCTAATTGTTACATAGAGACATGCAACCATCCTAACTGAGAACTCGAGTCCAAAAACTGAAGGCAAGATGGAGCTATTGGACGTCAGTTCCAGTAACACGAAGCTGCCATGCAGGAGTATGCCGAAATTTCGTATTTTGGTCTCGATTTAAAGAACAAAATTATGGCTATATACAGGTTGTCCTTTAAAACTCTAACGCCCGTATTCTAAAAGCTCACTCATGCTCAATGAGTGGAGGTTCAATCTGAGCTTCTCTTGAGTGTCAATGCTGTTTTTGAATAGCGGGAGGGCGAGTAGTCACATAGTAAGGTACGGCACTCACCCTCCAGCTATTCAAAAACAGCAACGACACACGAGAGAAGCTCAGATTCCACCCATTGAGTGTGAGTGAGCTTTTAGAATACAGGCGTAAACCTTAAAGGACATTGGCAATAAAAAATTCGTGTGTCTCATTCAAAAGAACTCTTAAAATTATATATTAAACTCTATTACCGATTTGTCATATCTTGCTTAGTTCTCGAAATATTTAGACCGAAGTTAATGAGCTTTCCGCCATCATGGAAAAATTCTTTACCTCATCAACTATGGTTTTGATGACGTCAGGAGTTGGGTTAACCATATAAAACTTCTCGAAAGTGACCGAATAACAATCCAAAATTGTTTGAAATGTTTTTAATCATTTTAAATTTCTGACAGCAACCAGAAACGAAGTTTTGGACCCATATTGATCGCTTACTCTCAAGATAAAAAATTAGCGTCACCCCTCTCTTGACGTAACATGCATATCCTCAATAATCCAAGATGGCGAACAGCCCACTTTTTCAAGTCGAAATATTTTGAAAACTAAGCAAGATATAAACAATCTGTAATAGAGTTTAATATATAGTTTTAAGAGTTCTTTCAAATGAACTAAACTAATTTTTTATTGCCAATGTCCTTTAAACTCTAAGCGCGAAAAGGACTATGGGAACACATAGTGTTTTCCTTGTGCATACAGACAAGATTTACGATGGAGAGTGTTCCCATTGCACTTATCACGCTTATAGAGTTTAAGGTTTCGCGCTTAGTTAAAGCGAATAATATCAGTACTCAGTAGACTTTTATAAAACGTTTCATCTCCTACTATTTTGTAGCCCATAATATAATATTATTATTTTGTACAACGTTTCCAATTTCAACATTGTTCAATTTCCGAGGGATTGAATAAAGAAAAACAGAAAAGCAGTTATTAAAATACATGAATTAGTAGTTAGAATGTATCAACCTCGTACCAAAGATCTTTCCTGTTGGCGAGGGGAGAAAAGACCCTGGTAGACGCTGGTCAATAAATATTCGATATTTGGATGATTTTTATAGTTTAATTTATAATTTGCATCTTGTATATGATTGTCGTAAAGGAACCCAAGATAGTTAATTAGAAATCTGTTAGATTTTAGCAGATCACGTGACCAGCGTCTACCAAGGTCTTTTCTCCTCTTCTAGTTGTTCATGAAGTAGCTAAAAAGTTAAGCGTGCAGTTCTACTTTACGCAAAATGTTAATGCTATGTTGAACAGGTACTGTAATGCAATACAGCTTATTCTTAAACTAACGCCCGTATTCTAAAAGCTCACTCACACTCAATGAGTGGAGGTTCAATCTGAGCTTCTCTTGAGTGTCAGTGCTGTTTTTGAATAGCTGGAGGGTTAATAGTCACAGTGAGGTATGACATTAGCCCTTCAGCTATTCAAAAACAGTAATATGACACTCAAGAGAAGCTCAGATTGAACTTGCACTCATTCACTCATTGAGTGTGAGTGATCTTTTAGAATACGGGCGTAAATGTATGTAAGTGAAGCACAAGACTGCACCAATAGTCGACAATTCCCATTATAGACTAATTTTAAATCTAGGCAAGGAGATGCAAATAAATCACCACAGCTAGAAAGAGCATTAAAATGAGTAAAAACTGCAAAGTTTGGTTGCGAAATGTTGTAAAATGCGGAAAATACAGCCTTGCAAAGTTTGCAAAATTTGTACACTTTTATATTGCGTGCGGAAATTGCTACCACATTAGGGCCGAAAATGGTAGCAATTTCCGCACGCAATACAAAAGTATACAAAATTTTCAAACTTTGCAAGGCTATATTTCACAACATTGTGCATTTCGCATTTCACAACATTTCGCATTTCACAACATTTTGCAACCAAACATTGCACTTTTACTCATTTTAGTGTGCTCTTTCTAGCTGTGGTGATTTATTTGCATCGTGCCTCTCGCACTGCGATTGCGTGGACAGAAATACAGCCAAATAGAGCCATGATAAACCATCCCTATAAGTACCAAAGGCAGTACAGCTAAGGTTATGGTAAAGTTCGCCTTCAAACTTCTGAGTAATGGTTGGGTATAAGTTAGGCTTGTTTCGCAGTTCATACACTAGTTGTACATGCTCTGTTTTTGATGGTAGATTATCTTCTCCAAGGGCGGAGACATGCTCAATGTGAATTTTATCTCCGCATGTATAGCGTGTACGTTGCTCCGATGAACTTCTACTAGCGTTCATTTCTCGAGAAAGTGCGGCCTATTAAGGCCTGATTCCACGGGCGCTTTTTCTCGGCGAAATGCGAAATATTTCGCCTTTCGCCGAGAAAACGCGCCCGTGGAATCAGGCCTTTACGAAGCAGCGCGCGTTCCCACGCTGGCGTGAAGTGGTGTTGGCATTAGCTTCACGTTTCTCCCGCATGTTATCGTTCCAGATAAAAGACATGGAGTTCACTGGGATGAGACAGTAACGGCAACAACGTCATTCTCCCTGATCGCAAAGCTAGGAGTGGATAGTGCAGCCGCTATCTGTAAATGAAGCCAATGACAGTCATGACGTTGTGACCACCACAAACCTACTGTGTCCGCGGTGTTGCTGACATGGTTCTAAATTGGTTAGTACTTCATCTTGCATGCAGGATACTTTGCGACTTTGGACCTGAACCATTTAAACAGTACGTAAAACATTGTCTAAGGATGGTGGTGCACGGATCCACCAAATATCATAATTCCTTATTTATTATTCTTGTAAAGTACATCAGCGGTATTGCTTTCTTCTTTATCCGTTTTCCAGGTCTACAGCGCGAGGTCTATAAGTCCAGATACAAATAAGACGAAGTATATAATCTGCACTTTATACGGTATGGCATGAGATATATACATTTCCTCCAAGCTTAATACTCATGGACAATCCACTTTCTAAAGTAGCTGAGCATAATGTTTCACAAATCTCTGAAGAATAGTGTCTTAGTTCACACTGATTTGACGTGGCCTTGCCTTTTGATTACTACAGCACTTGACTCTAAATCGTTTGTCAATAGTCAAGTATATTAGCGGCGTGGATGCAGCGCTGGCGTGTGCTCCGACGAGACAAGCAAAATAAACACAAGAATGGAATAAAATTACATTAGCCGCTGTCAATGCCGCTGCAATACCAAATGGAATCCAACATATAGAATAAGAGAAAACCATTACGTATGCTTGTTTATTAAAGCTCACTACCTTTACTATTGAGTTGTTATGTATACGTAGTTCTTGTGTTTGTTTGCGATGCTGTTTCAGTTTAGAAGCAACTCCAGTGAGCGATATTCTGCTGATTGTAGCACACACTGAAATCCAAATAGTGACTAGCACTATCAAAGAAAAGAAAGATGCACTTTCTTCAAAAGTAGGGGTTTGGTCTATATTCGTCTTACAAATGCGGCCAACGCCTTCTTTCTCCGCGACAAAAAACCCTGATATACAAGCAGGTACAAGTACCAGTGATAGAATCCAACTGGCTGCAGTGACCTTTAGGGACAATGAGAAACTGAACAGTCGATTTGCGGGAAATTTGACGATATTTTCATACAGAATGTAACATAAAGCAGCCATTGACGTGAGATTGTTGAAAAGGGAAATAAAATTGACCTGATGATAAAAGAGACAGTATGTTTGAGCGGATGGAATAATATTCCCTCTCGCCAGTATTTCTCCAAGCAAGCTGCCGAACAAAGAAAAAAGATTCGCAACTATTATATTCAACAAATGCAGTTTGTCACTTCGTCTGCCAGACGCCAACTTCTTCAAGACAAGATAAAATAAGACAAAATTAGCGATTAGTCCGATAAACAAGATATTCCAAGCAACAACGGCTATAACAGCGGCTGCATAACATTCGTAAAGATTTGTTCCATTCCCATGATAGCTCATGTTCTTTGCGTTCGCCATTGTTCACGCAGACACTTCCACAGCCTAGAATTTATATAAAGCTTTCATCAGCTTTTTATGTCAACTGAAACGAAAATATCATAAATATTAATATTATAAAAGTATATTTTATAGTTACAGTCAATTATTCGCACTAAAGATGTGACAGCTGCCTTTAATTTTTAAATCACTTTTGATACTAAGGAAGGCCGTCTTTTAAGTCTACCGTCAGTGCTCAGAGGTCAGCGCTAATCGCCTAATCTACCGGCATATTTAAAAGCCAGGTTCAGTTGTACTATTAATTAGTGCACCTGCCATTACGCCTATACAGCTACACCTCTGCATAATTAATAATGGGATAAACTAACAGAAGGGTTGAAACACCGGTCACGTGATCGTTCGATGTTTACCAAAAGTCTATCCAATCGGAGATTTCCGATCGCAGTTCGGAAATGCATTTCGAAGCTATTTTTTATTACAGTGCAATTTCTGATTATTTACATTTTTAAAAACTTACGCCTGTATTCTAAAAGCTCACTCACACTCACACTCAATGAGTGGAGGTTCAATCTGAGCTTCTCTTGTGTGTCAATGCTGTTTTTGAATAGCTGGAGAGTGAGTGGTCACATAGTAAGCTACGACACTAACCCTCCAGCTATTCAAAAACAGCATTGACACACAAGAGAAGCTCAGATTGAACCTCCACTCATTGAGTGTGAGTGAGCTTTTAGAATACGGGCGTTAGTATTGGAACTATAGTCTATACCGACGCCAACAAATCCCGCTATTTTTAAAATCTGAATGCAAATCAGAGCATCTCACGAGTGCCAAACTTCATCCGACTGGATAGGTACACATATCGCGAAAATTGGGAAGAAAACTTGCTGTTAAAAATCATTTAGGGAAAGGTTTATCTATGTTGAAGAATTTGTTAAAGGAAAAAGAGACTGTCCGACGCAAACTTGCTCGTTTTCCTACATTCTAGAAAAATTCAAGAAACTTCGAGCTAAAGTTAAACAACTTTTACGAGAAAGTCGTGGACGGTACTTGAGCAGTCTGGAGAACAGTTTGTACTTAAGCCCGAAACACTTTTGGAATCTGTTTAAATAAAAATCTAAAACTAGCAGTATATCCCACAAGCTGTATCATGGTCAACTAAAAACCACACCAAAGTGGCCAAAATCCCCAAGTCCAAGACTATCGCTAATATGTTCAGTATACAGCGACAACCAATGATATACTTTTAGAATCGGGCTTAAATAAACTAATACTGTCTGAATGCGAAGTACTTGCCACTCTTTCATCTCTCGATCAAAATAAAGTTTCGGGGCCAAACGGAATCTCTGACGAGTTCTGAAGGCAACTGTTGATATAATTGCTCCGTCAATTACCCTCCTGTTCAATACGGGTCGGCGTCGTTCCAGACGAGTGAGAAGAATCCAACGTTGTTCTAGTATTTAAAAAAGGAGATGAAGAGGACGGGAGAACAATATAAACCAATAACCCTCTTATGCATTATCTCAAAGTTGTTGGAACCTTGTATATTAATCCACATCATCTGCAAAATATCGTTAACGGCTGTCAATATGCTTTACGTCCGGTAAATCATGCACTACAAAACTTATCAAAGTTGTAGACACGATTGGAAAGCTTCTGGATCAGGGAGAGCAGACAGACATCGTTTACCTTGACATGTCTAAGGCATTCGACAGGGTAAACCATTCCAAGTTGATTGATAAACTGCGTAGTTTTGGATTCAATAACAGCCTGCTTTCTTGGTTCCAGTTGTATCGTCAGCATCGTCAACAACAGGTGACAGTGCTTGGATCAACATCTACGTTTTTGCCTGTGTCTTCTGGTGTACTACAAAGATCGATCTTAGGACCGATTATGTTCCTAATTTACGTCAATGGTCTACCAGACGTCGTCACTTCATCACCAGTAGCTGCCTTGGCCGACGACACCAAACTGTTCAAGCATATATCCAACATAACAGACAACTCACTTCTACAACAGGACTTGAACAATGTCGAAGCCTGGTCTTCGTCTTCTGACATGTCATTCAACGAGAGAAAATGCAAGGTTCAAACCATATAAAGAAAGACGTTTTTTTCCAATTCAAGAACTTTCCAGGATTTTCAAGGCCCGTGGACACCCTGCTATTATTTGTCATGAAAGAAGCAAGTTCGTTCACAGACCACGAAAGCCAACAAAATCCTTGGTTATGTGAAAAGAACGACTAAATTTGTAAAAGCAATCCCCACCACTAGACGAACGATTGGTTGTCCTTGTGCATAATCCTTGTGCATTCAACATTGAGTGACCAAAAGAAATTGTTAATTGGTCAAATTTACCGTTTTAAATTGGTTAAAAATGCAACCAATTATGTATTGGTCGAAATGACCAATATCTAATTGGTCATGTCAGACTAACCAATTCTTCAATTGGTTAAAATGACCAATTCAAATTGGTTGCAACCAATTTGAATGGGTCATTTTAACCGATTTGTTTTTACTATGTGAACGGATAGCTTCTTTAGCGATAAGGTCCGTCAGAAAAACAGGAATAAGCTGGGAAATGGCATTAAAACTGTTTACGACCTTCGCAGATATATTGGACGCCATCTTGGCTTCACTTTTCTCACAGGCCGAATGACTGAAGTTCTTGCTCCAGATATATAGAGAGCTCACTGCATTCTTCCTGTTTTAGATTTAGATTTAGAAAAGACGACGAGGCAAATACGATGACGCTGTCTCAATTTCAGCTCAAGATTGAGAGCTATAAGGACATTGATTAATGTGATAAAACTGAAGGTTTTTAAAATAACCTTCGGGGAAAACGATCCGCAGTCTGCTATGCGACAAATTTTATGTAACTCCTCCAATGTCGCAACAAGCATTCACGTAGGTCGACAAATTATTCAAACATTTTGTTTTGCATGAATAATTTCTTTGTTCCGAAGGCGGCGTCTTTCAGTTCGCGTCCGGTTTTATATAAATCTGTCTAGTAGAGACCTCACGATGTAGGACGGCAACGCAACGACAACGGCCAGAATAAAACCATTCAAATAAACGATTGTAAAGAAAATTTGTAGACTATTATTGATCATATCGATTTAATACTGTTTGGTTAGCTTAAAATAGTGGCTTTATTGTTGAGAAAGTTCCACTGTAGTACCGAGTTAATTTGCTGAGTATCACGTCTCGCGTCTTGAAATGCATGAAGGCGTTTTATCCAAGACGTAAAAGTTTGTAGTTTCCCGTTGTAAGGGACCGGTCATAAAGTAACTGCTAGGGTGGGCTGGAGTGATTTGGGATGGGCCATGGAAAATCTTTCGGCAGTTTCGATGGGCCACCAATTTTTTGGTATGTCAACGGTTGGGCCACCAAACAAAAACTCATGTTAATTATATATTACATAAAGATATTAATTAATAATAAAAGTAAACAAAACTATCCAAATTATCAAGTGCAAATGATGCTATTGAAGCCAGTACTTTGTTTTATACAACAACAAGAAGTGGTCGAATCACAGCAAATACAACCAACTGGAGAGCAGTTCAGTATCGTAATTGGTGATGAATGTGTTGGTCAAGCATGGTGTAATTATGTATGTCGATACAGTGCCAGTGTATGTTAATTTATACAATGTTCATACCTGCAAATTTTTTTAATTATAAAATTGTATTTTCCCAATTTAGATTGGGTGGGTGGGTCATGAAATAAATTTGGTAAGATTAGATGGGCTTTGAAATTTTTATCCATATCCTAAGATGGGTCACCAGACGTATTGGCAAAATTTGTGATTTACCTCCAGCCCACCTTGGCAGTTACTTTATGACCAGTCCCTTATCTCAGGGCAGGAAAAAAGAATTTTCTTCTTGGAGCACAACCTGGCAGTAAACACGAAGTTCTAGGAAGATGTTCTGTGATTGGTTGACTATGACAATGACAAAAGACGTAATTGGCTTACATAAACAAAAGGAATATTGTTGTTGCTTCGTTCTTTAGAAATCCATTCTATAGTTTATTCTTTTGTCATTGTCATAATCAACCAGTCACAGAACATCTTCCTAAAGATCTTCGTGCCGACCCCAACCTGGAGACAAAAATGTCCTGCAGACCAACGGAGTATTTTTGTGCTATATCTGCATGTGCATAAACATATAGTGTTCTAGCTCACCATGGTTTTAAATTTAAGGAATAATGTCTGTCAATCATATGTTGTTGCGCCCATAGTGGGACATGGGTGTTAAGGTTTCCTTCGAATTTTCAATAGCAAATCTTCATTCAAACGAATTTCCTGCAGCTGGTTAACATTTCCTGCAAGCAATGCTCGTATGCTTGCCTATTTTTTTCTACCCCTACCTTATCTCATAACACAAACTGGTCTCTATCATGTACTGTACCTTCTTTTAAGGTTTATTATTATTATTATAAAAAAAATTATTATTTTTTAAAAAAAATATTTTTTTTAAAAAAATTTAATTTTATTATTATTTTTATAAAATATATATTATTATGAATAAGTGTGACTCCTATTTCCAGGGCAGCGCTGGAAAGGTGATGGTAATTCATGATTCTCCTTATTACGTTTTCCTAGCCTTTTGTATTGTGGTTATACTGTAGTGGTATCACTGATAAAGACAGCCGGCTCGAATGAAAATATTGAATGTTTTCGCGAATATTTTGCTGTTGTGGCTATCGCGCACCTGACCCTAGCTTGTTTTAAAAGTTCTTGCACGGGTCAGGACAGAAAATAAGCCATCTTGAATATCAGTGATACCACTATAACCACAATGCAAAGCGCTACGAAAACATAATAAGGGGAATCTAGTATTAATTTTCTTAATAATTAATCGAAAATATAAATTTTTCAGATTGCTGTTCTTCATAATGAAGTTGAGCGGGCAAAAAGTGAACAGAACAGGTACATTTATGCAATAGTGTCTTGAGACGTTAGGATCCAATGTAGCTAGCGTTTCTTTTACTAGAGTACTTTACAAATCAAAGAGAGACGTGAAAATTAAGTTATTTTTTATCATTCACGAATCCCCATAATCAAAAGCTTTGTATGTTGTTCAAATTCTATTTTATCTTTGTGAAGGTTGGATCAAGAACTGGACTTTCTGGTATCACAACAGAACGAGCTGGAGGATTTATTAAAACCTCTCGAAGAATCTGTGAAGCACCATAACGGGGAATATGCACAGGAACCCGACAGAGAGCGAGAAAAAATGTAAGTTATAGTTGCAGGGCCTCAGGTTCAAATCCTGCAAGAGGACCTAGAATTGGGAGAGACGGGAAAAAATTTAAGGGAGGTACAGCGGTTTAGCTCACGACCCCCATGGAAAGTTAGGGCTTAGAACGAGCCAAAGTCAACAATGTATTAATAAATTACGACTGTACAACTCATCCAATTTTGCCCTTTATTACAATTACTACAAAGTTTCTTTCAAAACATTGCATTAAAAGGGTACTTGACACGGAGATGTATGGCTATAACTGTTTCAATTTTACAGAAAAACTTTCTTACGAAGTGTAGACCCTAAGCAACCAAAAAATGTCAAATTTTCACTTTAATCTATCATTGAAACTTTCCCAGGGGGGGGTGCATAACGTTTCAGGGGAGGTGCAGAAATTCTCAGGGGAGGTGCAAAACGATCTCAGGGGAGGTGCGCACTTCCCCACACCTCCCCTCAAAATTCGGCCATCGTAACTGACCATCTGATCGCCTTCTTTCAGCTACACCATGGCAGAGAAATGCGATGGTCAACTCAAAGGAATGGTTCAAGACCTGAAGGAAGTCATTGACTACCTAAATTCTACGAACGCCAATCAACAGCAAGAAGACAACCCGGTATGTTCACTACAGCATAGTAGGGGGTGGGGTGTGTGGGAGGTAACCCAGAGTTGAAAAAAAGTTCAACCTTCCTCAGGGTAAATTTCAAGTTTTCAAACCATCTTCAAAGCAATTTGAATAGACCCATTGCACATGACATCACAGCGCCGGTGACGATGCATCTGGAGGACAGATTGGCAATCTATGCATAATATAACTATTGTAAACAAAGCAAAATTTGTAAAACTTTATAAGAATTTTGTACTAAATTGGTTAATTTTTGCGCTGTATGTGGTTGTTGTACCCGAACAGATATTGTTAGGGAGCATCTGGAGGACACTCTAAGGATTTGTGACGTCAGTGCAATGAGTCTATTATCTTTTTTTCAAATTTGCAAAATATATAAATTATGTCATTCAAATTCTTATTCCTTTAACCGTGAATTTTGTTACGCTAACCACTTGTGCTGTTCTATTTTCACATCAAAGGTGATTCAAATAGCGAAAATACTCAACGTCCATATGGACTCCTTGCAATGGATTGACCAAAACTCAGGTACGATGAGATTTTCGTCATCTGTGATCACTGATAACCAACTAAAGAATATACGTAAATATATATTGAAGACACTGCATGCTCCACGCAAACTATATCATAATGATTTGATATTTCGTTGATAGTTTTACTGCAGAAGAGAGTGGATGAAATTGCCAGATTGAGTGAAATGAGGCGAAAAGAGTACGAAAGATCATTTAGATTGGTAAGTGAGACCAAGAAATTTGGTTCCTAGATAAATTCTACCTTATAAGCCCGGATCTAGTGAGAGTTGGCAGTCACGCGATCTTGGTTAGCTGTTCTTAATGCTTTCCCGAACAGTATCTATTTAGGTTAAAACCTAGTTGGATCTCGGAACACTTATCAAACCTTGATTTTGCTTGAAATGTCCCCCATAACAATGGACAACTTGCATGTTAGACTAAATTTTAATCTGAGTAAAGAGAAGGGAATCAAACACTACAGCTAAAAAGAACATAATGAAATTAGTAAAATTGCAAAATTTGGTTGCGAAATGTTGTAATGCTTGGAAAATACAGTCTTGTGCAAAGTTTGCATATTTTGTATATGTTTGTATTACGTGCGGAAATTGTTACCATTTTCGGCTCAAAAATGGTAACAATTTCCGCACGTAATACAACACATACAAAATATGCAAATTTCGCAAGGCTACATTTTCCGTATTTTACAACATTTCGTAACCAAATTTAGCAATTTTACTAATTTTAATAAGTTCTTTACGGAAATTCACTTTTTTTGCCTAGATAAAAAATTAGTCTAACATGCAAGTTGTCCATTCGTCACTGCCAACTCTCATCAACTTTCATCAACTCTTATCAACTCTCATCAACTCTCATCAACTCTTATCAACTCTCATCAACTCTCATCAACTCTCATCAACTCTCATCAACTCTCATCAACTCTTATCAACTCTCATCAACTTTCTTCGACCGAGGCTTTGGTGGAAGTGGTCACTATTGAGACTTCTAAGAGCAATCCAATGAAACATTATTTTTCTTAATTTAGTGTCATTATCTTTTTAGGGTTTTGATTGAAAAGCAAGAAAATGGAAAGGATATATATGCACATATATATAAACATGAACTTGTCAAAACGTGTATAAAGTGACTTGTAGACCAGTAAAACATTTAATGTTGTACTATTTCAAATCTGAATTAGGTTTCTTGTAACTTGCAAAGTCATGGGGCTGGTTGTTCAAAGCTGGGTTAGCTTAACCCTAGGTTAACCTAAAATTCAAAGCAAATTTCCTGACAGCTTGTCTATAAATTTGGAAATATTTTTTCGGAGATCTTGTGTGGATCAGTAGCAGTTTACTTCTCTGAAGTTTTGAAATAAACAGACGTGCAGAAATACACAAACTAAAACAGCAGGGGCCAGTTGTACGAAGCCGGATAGCGGTGTCCACCAGATAGTGATTTTTTCAAGCTTTCTTAAGTCAGCCATTGATTGGTATAACTCGTATTAAAGTTTAGTATTTATGAGTTAAATGTTTTTTCTACTTCTTATGTTGTCTATATCCGTAGTTTCACAGTTTTTCAAGCATTTTACAAAGGTTGAAAAAATCACTATCCGATGGATAGCGCTATCCGACCTTCGTACAACCGGCCCCAGGTTCAATTTTAACCCAGGGTTAGCGCTAACCCAGCTTTGAACAAGCCACCCATGCATGGTCAAACGAGGACGAGGGTTTCCACTCTAGCTTGTATTTCACTGAGAGCTCACTCTCCAGGGGCGACTGCCCCCCCCCCCTCCCACCCCCAGAGAAAATTTTCCTTACTAATTTTATAATGATGTTATAAATCATGGTGCTTATACTCATGTGAATCACGCAGTATGTATGATTCTGTTGATGGGGCGGCATTGGCATGCATCTACAATCATGGAAATAATATCCGTAGACTTTTTTAAAACGCATCTTGTCTTACTATTTTGTAAAGCCATTTTATTTTTAGTTAATACAAACATCCATGATCGCTAGAAATAACTCCCCCCCCCTCCCCTACCACAATGTTGGTTCAAATCATGGTTATTGGACCACAAACCAACCTTGTAAACGGGGAGGGGGAGAAATTGGGAAATTTTTGAAAAGTCTACGAATTAATTTCCATGATTGTAACTGATATGACTTTGAATGAATGCATTGCCATTTGAGTACGTATTTCAGTATATAGGTATTACTGCCTCCTGGTGAAATAATCCTGTATGTGGCACTACTCTGATCATCACTCGTCAACCGGCTTTGAAATGGTTCAAATTTTGATGAACAGTTTTTGCTATACGGCATGCATGCTAATCTCTCATCAACTTTGGGGCACGAGAGTTGAGAAAATTCCCATGCAAACTCTCGCTTGCCAACTTTTATCAACTCTTAACCTCGTTTGACCAGGGCTTATTGTAACGGTAATAAATAAAAATCTCAAGCAAAGCAATTTGTGTTGTTCTTGCGTCCGCGCATATATACTAGAGGTAACGCATATATCGGAACCTAAGGCCTGTTTTGTCTGTGGTTTTATACGTCGAATTTTAGTCGCGTCGAATGCAATTCAAACAATAGATAATGAAGCTTCATGAGGTTTATCATCTCATGCATTTGACGTATAAAACGGGCCTAAGTTTGCATGGTGACGCAAAGGTGTCATAACAAATAATCTAAATCAGAGGTGTGAAATGGGCAACCTAGTACCCAGGGCCTTTGCGCGGTTCAGAAGCTCTGGTACAACTCTGGTACGGGAAGGCTCTGAACCGCGCAAAGGCCCTGGGTACGAGGTTGTGAAATGGGAACACAATTTCGTTGTGCTTTAAAACTATGATTCATTCCTCGCGCTTTGGAAATACCAATAAGGACAATGAATCGCAAATTGCCTGCCATTATTTTCCTTTGTTTTTCGATTTCCTGTGATACTGTATGTATAGAGATATGCGCGCGCATTCTATACAGCAAGCAACGCACCGCAATCATTACAGCCGGTTTTGTAGTATAAAAATCTACATCGTTACATTCGCATTATTTTATGATCTTTATATTTCTGTCCGTGTCGTATTTAATTGCGAAAATTTTTATGGTCTCTTGATGGGACCACAAAGTACAAACACCCTAGAATCACAGAATACTACACAGAAGGCCATCTCCATTGCTTTTGCGTAAGCTCTATTCGTCATGATTCGTCACTTGGCAAGTGCCGTAAACAGAAGCAGTCACCCCCCTGGACGTGCTCCATTTTGAGTATTTCCAGCGGGGGGGGGCTGCTTCTGTTTACGGTACTTGCTGAGTGACGAATTATGACGAATAGAGCTTACGCAAAAAAACAATGGAGATGGCCTTCTGTGTAGTATTCTGTGTTATATAATAACTACAGTGGAACACGCAATTTGATTGGTCAATAGCCGTGCAGGATCAGGCTATCCTGCACGAGGAATTAAAATGCCTTCGCGGGATTTTCGCGGGATTCACAAAATGTCATTGTTTCACTGTAGTTATTTTATAAAACAATTACCAAATGGTTTTCCAAGCAGGATAGCGTGATCCATGCACTTGGGATGTTGCTCGACTTTCGGAAAGCGTAAAAATACACTCGCCTGCGGCTCGAGTATTTTTACGCTTTCCGAAAGTCTCGCGACGTCCCTCGTGCATGGATCACGCAATCTTGCACAGAAAACCATTCGGTATTCCTTTACTAGAATAGAGATGTGGAACGTGATCATACGAGAGGAACTCTATAATTATCGAGTATGACTTCCCATATGATGAGTCCCTTCCTGCCCAAAACACACAAAGTCGTACCCATGCTTCTTCTTGTCAGCCAGCTCTTTATTTTACAGTTGGCGGGCTCTGTATTTTTTTTTACATTTGGCTCGAGCAAATTGAACAGACTGAACAATCTATGGATTGTTTACAAATAATGGATCCCTGGATTATATTTATTTTTTTGTAAATAATCTATGGATGGTTTGTAAATAATCAAGTGATTGTTTAAGATCGTACTAAATAATCCCAGGTACGGCCTCTCTATGGGTTCTAGCCTGCGAATTGGTTTTGAAAAAAAAAAATTCTGGGAACTTTTTTCCACCACCCGATTCGTCGGGTGAGATGCCTGCGGAGGAGGCTAAATCCCTGACTCGTACCCAGTCGTCAATTACGATTTATATAGATCAGTGTACGGAGGTTTGCGTTGCATGATGGGAACGACGAAGAAAAATTGACCTTGACCATTCCCATCATGCACCATTATTTTAATTAATCCTCATTTGAGGGACTGGGTACGAGTCAGGCTAAATCCCAGGATGGTTTGTAAATGATGGCATAGATTGTTTATAAACTCAACCATGGGCATGGATTATTTAGTATCACAACAAACAATCTCTGGATTGTTTAAAAATAATCTATGGATTATTTATTCAGAATACAAAGATTGTTTGCAAATAATGTATTTTAGTATAATTGCATAGGTGATTATTGAAAATTCTCCACGCTGATTGGTTGCCGTTGAGGTGATTATTACGCGATAATCACCTAAGCGATTTTCAAAATGGCGGTCGAAGCCGTTTTGTCAATTAAATGACGAAGAAATGTGTATTTTTCATTTGTTTCCAAATAATCACCTATGAAATTATACTAAAACAATTATTCACCTCAAGCTCGGTGATTATCGTGAATAAAAACCTCGACTTCGTCTCGGTTTTTATTCACCGATAATCACCTCGCCTTCGACGAATAATTGTTAAATACAACTAAATAATGGAAAATTCGACATATTTTTGCTGATAGTGATAACATTTTTTTTACATTTGGCGCCCCATACGTTATTTGACTTATTTAACGTTTTGCCATCTGTTGTAAGTAAATGACTTGTCATAGCCATACGGATAACAGGTGGGAAATTTGTCGTCGCTGACCAAAAAATTGCGGGCAGAAACAAAGCTCATTGCATTTACATTCAAAACAAAGCAGAAAGTTAGCAAGAAGCTGTTTTAGCTGACGATTTTTTGCTTTCCATTCAACGATTTACAAATTATTGGTTATTCTTTTAAAAGTCGATCATGAATTCTTTGTTTTGGGATGATTGTTTTGTAATCGCGTGATTGAAAGAAGTTAATATGGCGACGTGAACATGGGAGTAAATACCGTATACGTCGATCTATGGCTTGTTTAAAACCGTAATAAACGAAGAAAGACGTGATTTGAGAATGAAATGTAAGTTGAAATTAACTTTATATACCTCAAATTTTCCATTCTATGTTTCTTAATGTAACTTCAGCTGTTTAAGTTCAAAATACAAGCTCGCGAAATTTGACAAATTTTGAAAATATGTAAAAATAGCTTGACTTTGAACTGTATTTTCTCAAAAATAGCCTGTGGCCTCAATTTCAAATATAGCTAAATGAAAAGAAAAAACTTTTCGGCGTTTGTAGGTATCAAACATATCGTCAGGAAAATAGGGGCTCACAATGTTTTAGTTCAGTCTTTGAGACCCAGTTGCTTCGCACGTGTTGTGGTCAAATTTTTGCCAAGAATCAAAGGCCGAAATGTGAACTTCCTTCATGAAAACCGCTTCGAGAAGGGTCTAGTTTGAAAATTTAGCTATTAATTTCGATTTCATGAGCATATTTTGGTTACACGTTAAGTATTTTTGTGCTTGATGAGATTCAAAATTTGTTGTATATTCAAGTCCGGCTTTTGTGTAATTTTGGTGATGACCGGAACAGAAATAAAGATATTTTAAAAACTGGCCGTGGCCTCACGATAAAACTTTCTGAAAATGTTCTCTGTTTCATGTACTTTTATTTGATATCTTAGGTATAAGCGTAAAAATAGGGGCTCATACAGTTTAAGAGGTTGTAAAATGCATGACTTCCCTCTATTTTCATGTAAACATTCGAAATTCTTCGACAGCAAAGTAGCAACTGTTTCAGATCGAATGCACACGGGCAGCCCACCAGAGACAATGGCAGGGTACTGAAATAGAACGTCACTAAAAAATTCTGCATGATTAATTTAGATCATGTCTACTCTTTTACCATAAAACAGTCATTTATT